GTTCGCGGGACTGAGAAGTTCTATTTGTGAATTCTCTCGGCTCGTCGATATTTAACGATCCCGCGAGGAAATCGCGGCGAACGAACGAGGGACCAACCGAGTAACCAGCAGAGTGACCGATCGACCAACCAGTCAGTCGGCCAGCCGAGTGGTCGTAGATATATAATACCCTTCGTGATTCTATAGAACCTATTTACGTCCGGATGGTCGCGTCGCCCTGTGCATGTTATTGAACCCGACAAAATGCCACGAACAAGTCGGCAAAGACGACGTTGTCGACGACAATGATGACAGTGCACTTATAGCGCTGTTATCCTTCGCGTAGCTGGTGTGTATTTACGAGTCGCGCTGTACGCGATAATATAATGACGGACTTTCGGAGAAGGAGGAAAATATGGCGATAACGATGATGAGGAAGGAGTCGAATAACGATGGCTTTTCGTAGGAAATCAATTAGCGCGCTTTATCGTTTGCGATTAATCGTCGGACGCCGCGGCCCGGGAAAACTTGAAGGGACATATAATCGCGGGTAACGAGGTCGCGCGACCTCCTTTAAGCTACGGATTTTTATGCCAACCGCAGGCCAGAGCGGACGGAGTGATGGATTATACCGTAATTACGGCAAATTTTACGTATTATCCGCTTTCTCTTTTCTTCTATAATTATATGAATTGACAGGATCGCGCGAGCACGTGGTCAGTTATAAGAACAATTATCGTGCCTGACGACTGCTTTTTTCCACACGCGAGAATGAAGCATGAAATGCACGTCGCGTTGTTGGAACCACATGCCACTGAGAGATCGTCGCGAATCGATATCAATTGGTTATTGATTGAAACTTGAAGGGAAATCAATGCGAAGACTAGGACAGCCCGGAATGTTTTCTTGAAAGAATAATTACCACGGTAATCATCTTTCCCTCGTCCGGAGAAAGAAGCTCAAAGGCCTTGCCTTGCTCTTTGCGCAAGGCAAAGAGTCGTGGAAAGCGAAGCGCAAAAGGGGTCGGCAACGACTATAGTAACGTTCCCTGACTGATGCCTGATTAGGATCTGTAAAAACGATGGCTTGCTAATCTGAAGCTCAGGATAAAGCAGCAGATCGTCTTAGTATCTTAGAATCGATATCGCGGGAGCAGAAAGCCTCGCACAAACCTTTCCTAGAGTCGAGGTCCTTGCACCAATCGAGTAGAAAGGCAACTAACAGTCAAATTACATGTCTGTCTTTGCTTTTCCTTCAAGACAAACAGACACATGTTTTGGCTGTTAGTTAGTTAGCTAACGAGTTCGCTTGGTGCAGCCGGGACTTAGGTTGTTGAGACAACAATCTTGAAGAGGGAGGGCTATTGCAACAGCATGTTCGCACTCATGGCAATTTGAGACGGATCAATTATAGTATGAACAGTGCTGTATCCGTGACATATGAACAAGAGCAAGACTTGATAAAAGAAGAATTGTCCTGACAGAGGAAGTCGAAAAGGAGGAAGAAAAGGAAGTTGAATTCTTGTTCTACGTGGCGATATACATAGAGCGTGAAATATGATAAAACAAGCGACCGAGTGCGCGCAAATAGCTCAATCAAACGTTTCTAATTTTTAAATAGGTTTCCTTAATTCAATCGCGCGAACGCTGAAGCACAATATTTTGAAGACTCGTTCAAGATCACGAATGCCATATATGAGGAAGTAAGTGAAAGGGAACTAGGATAGTCAGCGAAACGCTTCTCAAGTAGAAGGAATTTGTAGGATGAGGGTGAAGCCGAAATTGCGACTCTTGTGGTCTTCGATTAGAACAAATTGCGTTCATTCTTGCGATTCGTTCGACTGTTTTCGCGTTTAATTATCGCGGACTTTTATGATTATCATCGATTTTTTCCGGTTTCAACATTTTATCAGGATTATCGAATATCTAATATATCCATGTCCATATAAATGTACTAAAAAATAACTTACCTTGCGCATATATATATATATATATATATATATAATTCGACCGTTTCTCCGGTTTCGTCTTTATACGTATATATTTCATGTTTACTTAAAGATATAAAATATCCTGACATCTCTATATAAATAATGAGGTGATCGCCGTTATACGATTCTTACGATCATTTAACGGTCGAAATTAAAGGCATCAAGAATGCAGCGAGTTTTAGCCGTCATGAGGAAACTGTATATTGTATAATGAATCAGATACCTTTTTGTACAATTTATATATAAATTCGAGTTATATACATCTCAACCCTTAACTGGACAATAGATATCTTCTTGAAAAGAAAGGAAGAAACAAAATTTTGCATACATATGTCTGATTGGAACGAAACTTTCACTTCTTGTTGTCACGGGGTTGTTTTTTTTATTAAATAGATCAGATGTTATATCAGTTGCGTATCCGACGAGATATAAATATAGAAGAGAAAGTTTACATCTTGCTTGACAGCGCGCATCAAATTAAGGGTCAATAAGAACTTAAAGTAGCAATACGATCAACCGAGTCGTCCCTTATACGAGAAGGGAGAAATGCACGTGATAATTACCAGTACGTCTGTTGATGGCATACACGGTGTCTCGTGGAATTCCGTCATTAATCTCTGGACTCGATCGTTTTCGAGAGAAACGCCTCGAAATTCCGCGTCGCGCCACGCGACGATGAAACACCGCGGCGATACGTTTTGGCAAATTGCCGAGGCGGCTGAATTAAATGGCGTATCGCGTAGCTGCTCGATAGTTTTGTCGATATCACGGTGAAAAACATGGCCAGGCGAAACAATTCGCGATTCAGCACCGTTCTCACGCGGATTATTAAGCGGGAAACACGCGTCGCGCGTGAGAATGAGAGATCCTGCGCGTAAATATACGTTAAACTTACTCCGGACTCCGGGTGTCGTTCGAGTCGTCAGCGGGAAGAAATTAAAAGTGCTCGCGTGACGACCGATGACGCAAAAGGGCACCCTTAATCGTGTTAAAGTCGTATCGGTGATTTATCATTACCTATAGTTACATCTCGAGTCGATTAACTGGCACGACTTAAATTAAACGAACGTGAAGGAAATTAAATGGAAGACATAATCATCCTGGATTACATCGACACTTTCGCGCTGGTTGCGTGTGTAATAAACTCTGTATATATAGTAAATATATATTCTAAGGGAATACACGTGCACGCGCGCGTAAACACATACACACACACATACATACCATTGTATCCCCGCAACTATGTCGAATTTTCTAATGACGTAACAACGCACTTCACCGCTATTATTGTCAATTGATTGCTTACTCGATTCTCTTATTGTTCATTTCTTATTGTTCAGTTATAGTTCACTTTCAGTGTTCTTTCATTGTTCATTTTCAAGTATACAGAACTAGATAGCGTTTTTACTTTTCTCTCAAGCATCTCTCATACATACTGTCGGCGTCACGTACCATTCCCTGAATCGTGATGATTAGCCTTACACTCATCCGCAAATGTATATGCATAAGTATCATAATTAGAGGCATTATAACCCTACCGTTATAACTAGAGTGTTCTTCAATCTCGTGTGTGTCATATGTAAGGCTGAAACACGTGCAATTCTCGATCTAAGGAATGGCACGGCATACATGACGTCGACTGTAAACTCGCTTGCGCAACGGTTTGCGCACGCTCTTTCCAGTGAGGTCTGAAGCACATTGTACGGTCTTGATAGCGCAGTAATCAGTTATGTCAGGAGTCTAAGTGATAATACACGAGACATTCGACGTTACAGCTGCAACGGAGGATTCGGGAAAAATGTATTTTATCACGCTGTGATTTATCAGATAAGAGAATATAATAAAACTCATTCGATTTCTATCATGACCGATTGCTCATGCAAGCTCATGAGCGGTTTGCAATTGTGATTATTTGACGCGCTTCTAACGACGCCATCGGAAAGAGAACCGTTGCGCAAACGAGCTGACACACACACACACACACACACACACACACACACACACACACACACACACACACACACGCACACAC